ACACACAGTATGGCACGTACCTGGGACAGGAGCCCAAGTCTTCAGATGTTTTAATTTTAACCCTCCCTCCCCCTATTTTTGGATATCCTCTTGACAAATCACTTTAACAGTTTTATTTACAGTAATAAAAATAAATTACTCTTACAGATGAATGTATAATATTATACACAATAGAGATACAGTGCAATAACAGCATTTTTTTTCTCACTCGTTCATAAAGTGCATTGAAGGGGCTTGATTTAACCAGAATTGAATGATAACTGTACATTTTCCATTGAGATCAACTTTCCCAGTCAAGGTTAATAAAAACACATCAAAATAAGTTGCTGTTCTGATTGCTGTGCAATGGCCTTGTTCCTGCAGAAGCAGATAGATAGGATGGGAGGCAGGTTGGGAATGGGGATGAACTCCCTTCATGCTAGAGGATTCACTCTCTAGGAAGGATGCTGTTTTTCCTGCCGGGGGCCTGACCCTGACTTACTCACAAGGGACATCAGAAACAAGCCCTGTCCTCACTCTACGTGGTATAGGGGAAAGGCAAGGCAGAGACAAGAGCCACCTGTTTTGCCACCAGTGGCCAGCACTTCCTCTCATCCTTAGCCAGATACTGCCAGATGGAAAAGAGTCTTTCATGGGACAAGCCAGATGTTTTCCAACTCCCAGATCCTGCAATAAGGCCATAAACCTGTGCTTGTGATTTCAGTGTCTACTGATACAATGTGCTGCCAGACATCCAGCATTGTGCCCGCTCAAATTGTAAAGGAATAACCTTGCTTTAGACACAATTCCACTTGACATCAAGCAGGATTTGTGAAGGCAACTATTACCCCTGGGGTTGGACGCAATCTGTTCCCATCCCTCAAAGTCAGGGACAAAAAAGAGCTTTGGACCACCCATTCTTATTTGAGTCTTTGCTGAAAATCCATTTTATCTCTATAATGCTCTGTATTGCAGAGTTTTCCAATGGGAATGGGAAAGCTCCATTCTGGGGGTTGCAGGGACAGCAGGAAGGGTGGCTCTCAGGGATTTTGCAGTAGGCAACTGCTTTGTTAACAGAAAAGGTACAAATGGTACATGCGAAGTCATCAGCTTGACTACCTCACCCAGAGGAAAGGTTGCATGTGAACAAAAGGAGCTACAAGGAAATACCATATGCATTGAACAATTACTCCTGACAATTAAAAGTGAGCTGTTAATTAATTGTTAACAATTACGTGAGTCATCAGTGCTGCTCAGTACACACCAATGCAAGTGATTATCAAGATCAACATCTTTTTCAAGACCTCCCCACCCCAAATTTGATGCTTCTACAAGAAAGAGGTACTTGATCGCCTACTGAGAACAGTAATGGTTTCTTGGGGTTTTAGTCAAAGTTCAATTAAAACTCTGTTTGAGATGAACAAATTGTGGCTGCCACATCAGGACTGAGATCCTTGAGATATTTGCTGTGAGTTACTGAAATGAAGCTGGTTAAAAAGAGGCGTTTTCATGGCTCAAAGTCCCAAACTGAACAAAACGGGGAAAAAATCCCAGAACCAAGCTCCTCTGTTGGCAGAGTCTATACATTTCATCAGCCTTCTTTAAGTTATTGTTTCTCAGTTGAAATACACTGGGACAGGGACCAGGGTTTGTTGTAAATGCATAAACTCACACTTACCCCTAACACAGCTCCATGAAACTCAGGGCATTCATACAGCTGTGTTTTCATCCCATCCAATGGTGTCCCTGGCCTTTTCACAGTATATATGGAGAATGTTTTCTCTTTTCTTTCTCCTGCTCACCCTTTTGTCATCCCCTTGACTAAAACAGCCACCACCAACACAGAGAGCATTTCATACCTATGTTCTGCTTGCAACTCGTGGCAGAAAAGCCAAAGACAAGCAGAAACCTGGGAATAAGTCAACCAAATAAGCAGTGAATTAATTTCCCTGGCTGCGCTGATCTTTGCCATAGGGCTGGTTATATACCTCATGTAATTGTTCAGGATCAAAGTTCTGCTTGTTTCTGCTGCTGTAGATCTAGACCAGCTCCTGTAGGGTCCAGAGTGATATGAATGGAAGCAGAGCCACCCTTCATCTTTCATCAAAATCTATTTGCAAAGCCCAGTTTTAAAGGTACAATGGCAAGATCTGAGCCATTCAGCAGCATGAGGAATGGAGCTCTTCACAACCAAACACTGACCATCCCTCTCCAAGCAGGTCCAGTTTCCACCTGGAGTGGCCACAGGAGAATTCAATGCATTGGAAAACTCCTTCTATTTTCCAGTGTTCCTCTTATTGTTGGTACCCCAACCACATCTGATACCTTTACATTCCTGAGAGCTGCTTCTTACTTATGGCAACACAACCTTATCCAAATTCAGGCCCTGTATTCTGTACTAAGTGTGTTTCAAAGCCAGCACTGAAGGACAGCAAACACCAGGGCAATCCCACCCTGCACACAGCATCACTAACTTGGTATTAAGTTAGCTCTCCTGATGTCCAGCTCAAGGAGGTTCGAACATCCAACACCCTCATTGATCTCCAATGTTGTCACACAAAACTTCCTCCAGTAAAAGAAACAAACCACACCAACCAAACCACACCAAAGCAAAGGCGCAGTAAAATGATCAGGCATTTCCACAACGCAACGCATGGCAGGGAACTTCTACCTGTTCATCTTCTTCCTCACTTCATCTTGGTTTCCCCTCCTTCCACTGATGAAAAAGGAGAGGAAAACCAGCAAAGGAAAACTACCTAGGAAATGTATTTATTTTTATTTAGTCAAAAGAATGCAAAAAGCCAATTTATCAACGTGTTCTTTAGAGATCTCTTGAGACATTGCCTGAAGCCTACCAAGTGTTTTAACAACATCCATGGCCACCTTTAACAGACTCCAAGAAAGGGATCCTGTACCATCACTTAAAAGAATAAGATCAACATTTTATACTAAATCTGAGCACGCAATATACTTGTGTCGTATCTTGATGCTGATTGTGGGTTCGATCTAGTGCAGCAGAATAAAAGTTTCCTTAGTGCAAGGAACAGGTTTCAGTTGGTCTGTATCAAAGTTGTTTTACATGTGTTTGGGTTAGTACCAAGCATTTCAGTGAGAACATCTCCACCTCCTTTCTGGCTTCACTGTCTGGTAGGGGCTGTATCCTCAGCTTTAGCTCCTCACACCCCAAATCTTTCTCCTACTGCTGTGGAGACAAATGATTTTCCATTGACCCTTGTATGCTTTTGTCAAAGCTTACCAATAGATCCCTCGAACTGAGACAGGTTTCACTTAAATTCTAAAAAGAACATGATTAAAATCAAAACCTTCAGTAACAGGGAATTGGCTGGAAAGCCAAGAAAATGCAACTTTTTACATGTCACGGTTTCTCTAGAGCTGATTAGTCAATACTACATTTCATTTAAAGGTACAAGACAAGCTGCCCAGGCGAACAAATGCTGTCTTCTAGATAGGGTTGTATAAAAATGGTTTAAAATGCTCACAACCTCTCAAAAAATGGTTTAAACTAACTTGAGTTTTCACACTGAGGAGCTGCAGGAACTTGACTGTTAGAAACCAGAGAAATAAAATGAGCAGAGAAAGTATATTATATTCTATATTATTCTGTCTTATGTATTTATTTACTTTAAAACATATACTGATTCAATGTGGTGCCTCCTGCCCACTGCCCAAGGTATTCGAAAGAGAAGGGAAATGAAAACAAAGAGACTGGCCACCTTTCCAAGGTAGGCAGAAAGCCCAAGCCCCAGGCACACTTTGGAGATCCATAGCTTCCCCATGTGCATTTAGCTTTGAGGAGCAAGAAATTAATTGGACAGACGCAGAGAGAAAACACAGTTGTGTTTGTATCCAGCCATAAGGTGACTGTGGACCCACTACAACCTCACAAAGCATTTCTGTCTCCCACAGCACACCAGTGTACACACTGTGGTTTGGTGGTGGTGCCATTGGATGGTGTTGATAGGAACCTTGGTCTGTGTTGCCCATGGTTCAGTAAAACCCAGTTCCTGCTCTTAAAACAGGCATTTTGAATGCTGGAGATCACAGCATCTTTAAAGGGGAGCAATGTATTTGGGACACCACTGGTGGGGGACTCCTGGCTCAACCATTGAGTTGCTCCTGCACTGGGCCCCAAAGCAGCACCCACCATCTGAGCACCCTGAGCAACCCAAGATGCTTCACCCCAAACCCTGCCATCTCTCTGAAGGCTGCTGGGTTTCTTGCTTGCTTTTTAAGTGAACGCACTATTCCACTTCTCAGCCAGAAGAAAGCACAAAGTAAAGGACACTTCATCATGGTCTCACTAACGCACAAAGCACATGACACAGCAGAGGAATGTGAGGGTCCTTTAGCTTCTCCGATGAAGCAAATTAAACTGGTAGCATCCGTAATAACACGTGTGATTACAGAGGCTTCCCTCTAGGGGACCCCAGCAAGCCCGGACCCGTCTTTGGAAGAAAATCCACCCCCCCCCCAAATGATCCATGTGAAAGAGAGCGCAGCCGGGGGAGCGCATCACCTCACGGCCCCAAGCCGGGAGGGGGGAGAACCCTTCCCGGCCCCCCCAGAGTTTTGTGATGTGGGGCACTGCGGTTGCCCCCCCGAGCCCGCAGTCACCTTTTTCTCCCCTTTTTCGGCTGGGGGCTTGGGGGGGGGCAGGGGAATGGATTCCCCGGGTACCCCCATCCCTGCGACAGCCCAAACAGCGGCCGTCCCCTAAAGTGCCTTTCGCCCCACAAGTTCTCAAAGTGCTTCACAAAAGACATGTAAAGAGTGTGCCCCCCCCGGGTCCCCTTCATCCCCTCCGCATCCCTAAAGCCACCCCGGTCCCCCGAGCCGGAGCTGTCCGCGCCCGCGGTGCTGAACGCCGCCCCCCGTTATTGCATAGCATCGCAAGCCCTGATTTTAGGGGGATGGACGCCCCGCACGACAACCCCACGCATGAGGACCAGCCCCGCCGGGAGGGGACACGACACACACGACACCCGGAACCTTAACCCGCTCCTGTCGCCCTCCCGACGGCTGCCACTTGTGGGATGTGGCGCCGGAGGGGGCTGGGGGGAACCCCTGGCTCCTTACCCCGAGAGCAGACAAACGCCATCGAACGAGGATCCTTTTTTTGGTGTTTTTTTTTTCTTTTTCTTTTCCTTTTTTTTTTTTTTTTGGTGTTTTGAGTTTTTAAATAAAAAATAAAATGTGTAAGAAAATAACATTTCTAAAGGAAACCATTATCATTCTACTCTCTCTTTCTTTCCCACTTCTTCTTCCCTTTTCCCTTTTTTTTTTCCCCCTCTCTTTTTGGCCATCTTTTCATGGAACGAGATGTGCTGCCCGGGGGAGTTCCTCCCGGTAGGAAACAATAACGACAGAGGGGAAAAAGAGGAGGAGGAGAGCGAGGGAGCGCCTCTCGCTCCGTGCTCAGTCCTCACACATCGCTGGATGTCCTTGGTCTGGAGGAGAACGTGGAGGGGATGCACCCGCAGCAGGCCAGCCACAGCGACTTCTGGATGTCTGGGTTTCTGAAGGCGTAGATGATGGGGTTGATGAGGGAGTTGCAGGTGGCGGGCAGCGCCAGGGAGTAGGTGTAGACCACGGGGTAGCTGGAATCGGCCACCAGGGAGTAGATGGCGAAGGGGATCCAGCACAGGGCGAAGGTGCCGAGGATGAGCGAGAGGGTGGAGAGCCCTTTGCGGGTGGAGGTGGCCTGCGCCGTGGCGATGAACTGGTGCTGCACGGCGATCTGCTGGGCGTGCCGGAAGGCGATCTTGCAGATCTGCAGGTAGAGCTGCATCATGAGGGCGAAGAGGAGCAGGAAGGTGACGGCCAGCACCGCCGCGTTGTCCTTGGTGACGGGCCGCAGGATGCTGCAGGCGCTCTGGTCCCGCAGGCAGTTCCAGCCCAGGAGGGGCAGCAGCCCCACGCCGAGGCACAGCAGCCACATCAGCAGCACCATGGCGCAGGTGAAGCCCAGCGTGCGCTCGCTGTGGTAGGTGAGCGCGTTGTACAGCGACAGGTAGCGGTCCACGGTGATGGCCAGCAGGCTGCAGACCGAGGCGGAGAAGGCGGCGAGCAGCAGCCCCGCAGCGCCCAGCTCCGCCGCCTCGCTGGGCGGCCGCAGCAGGTACCGCACGGCGAAGTTGGCCACAAGCCCCAGCCCGGCCAGGAGATCGGCCAGGGCCAGGCTGCCGATCAGCAGGAACATGGGCGCCCGCAGGCTCGGTGTGTAGAAGAGCACGGCCAGCACCAGCGCGTTCTCCCCCGCCACCGCCGTCCCCGTGGCGCAGAGCGCGATGTCCCAGGGGTTGACGGTGCCCCCGGCACCGGCACCGGCCCCGCCGCCGCCAGCACCACCACCGGGTGCCGCCGTCCCCGGCCAGGCGCTGGGCTCCGAGGCGTTGCCGAGCCCCGGGAGCCGCTGCTGCTGCGGCTGCGGCTGCCACGGCTCCCCCATGGCGGCGGGGCCGTGCAGCATCGCTGGGGAGAGAGGGAGAGGGATGCGGTGAGGGGCGAAGCACACGGGCTCCGAGCTGCGGGGAGAGGCACCGAGCCCCGCACCGAGCGCCCCCGCCCGCCGCAGGGCGCATCCCCGCCCGCCAGCCCGACTGCGGCTTCCCCAGGGAAGTCACCCCCACCCCGGCCCCACACGCACCCCTCGCCCCGGGGAAGCGGCTCCGCTCTCTCCCGCTCCTCCCGACGGGCTGAGGCCGAGCACAACTCAGCGCCCCGCTGCAGGCAGCACCCTCCATGCGCTCTGCCCGCGCAGCATCCGCAGGCGCTGCGCACCCCGCCGCCGGGGGAAGCACAGTACCGGCGGCCCCGTCCTCCCCCCTTCCCCGGGACACGACTACCTTTTGCCGCCGATTTATAGCGCCCGGGGGGGCCCCCCCCCCCGCCCTTCCTTCAGCCCTTTCTTTTTTGCGTGCAGCGAGTAGAAATAAATGCTATTAATAGGCCAGCCCTCGCATGTATGCGGCGCCGCTGATGAAGCGGGAGGGCAGCGGCAAGGAACAGCCTGCATTAACTTTCTCCTTCCTCCCTCCTTTCCCATCCTATGGAAAAAGCCGGTGCAAGATGCTCCCTGCCGGCTGCAAAGAGCTGCAAGATCCTGCCCTGCCCGGCGCGGTCCCCTGGCAGAGTAAATCCCCCCCGGGGCTGGTGTGAAGGTGTGAAGGTCGGGGGGACTCTGCCAGCAACCCGCTGCCTCCAGCATCCCCCCCCCCCCCTTCCCTCCCTCAGCCGCGACCGCCCGGCTGTTGTTTTACCTGGCTTTAATGCTCGAGGATCAGCTGGTTTCCCCCCGTCTTTATTTTTTCCCTTCCCAGTCCTTCCAGCCCTTGGTGTTAAGCCTCATTCCTCGGCGAGCATTGCTAATAACGGTGGCAGATAGCTGGCATCGGCTTGCACTTAATATTCCTGCCCCATTGGATCTGCTGATAAATCTCAACTCTGACGTCAAAGTCTTCACTTATATTCATGATCCAAGTCTGTGAATCAGAGCCGCTGTGATCAGAATAACAACGAGGCTGGCTCCCTGCTCCACATCCCGTCCACACCCGCAGGCACGAGGGGCTGCGCGTACCCGCGCCCCGCACGCTCCCGCCCCGCCGTTCATTCATGAGCATTCCCGACACACCTCCCCAAGGTCGGGCCCTGCCACCTGCGTTCTGCGGATGCAGCCTGGGCACAAGCCAGGCCCCGGCGCTCGCAAGGTTTATTTTTACCTCCTGTGCCAAAGGGCCGCGGGGATGCGGCGGGAGGGGGTGATCCGGTGTGCCGCTCAAGGGCAATGCCCAGCGACAGCAGCACCAACCCCACTGCACCCCCGGGGCTGGCAGCCGGGGTGCTGAGGGGGCTCTGTGCAACCAGGCAGGGGCAGATGTCACACCCCAAAGCCTTCATCCCGCACGGGCTTCCCTGCAGCCGGCATAAAAGCCGGGACGGGGAGCATCAACACCCGGGAGCTTTGCATGGGATGCCCAGCCTGGCACCCTCCCTCCTGCATGGGAGACCTGGCCAAAGAGGTTGGGTGCAGGGGTCTGTCCCCCGCACAGCACTGCAGCACCCACCCAGCCCCAAGGCTTCCTTCCTATTTAGAAAGGGATCAACCTGGAAAGGAGCAAGTCCCAAAGACACGATTATTTCTGCAGCCACACACAGCTCCGCGATTCAGCTCAGGAGCAGCACCTTCAGAGCAGGATGCTCAGCTCCCGGCTCCGCAATATTTTGGCTACACCTTCTCCCCCCTTTCCCACTGGTTTCATAACACTCCAGCTTCACTCTTTCATCCCCCTCTCTCTTCCAGGCTGTAGCTATGCAGCGCAGCAAGCTCCACACCGGGAAGGATTCCCACCTCCTGATGTGCAAAGATACTCGGGTGAGCATCAGTGGTTTTGGCTGAACCCCATCACCCCAGTGAGGAGCATCTGGGTTCTTAATCAGGCCAAGCCCCATCCCAGGGGACTTAAATCGTCACCTACCTGGGGATGGCAGCCTCGTGACTGCGCGCCGTTGTGTGACATGAGCAGCACGGAAAGGGGCGGAGGAAAGGCGAGCGAGGAGCTGAATGAATCCTCTCCCGCTCCCGGTAATTACGCACTGCTCGGGAGAGGCGAGGCGGGTGCGGAGCTCTGATTGACTCCCATCCGCAGCTGCTCCTGCCAGGAGGGGGCTGCAGCAGAGGGGATGTGGTGGCCGGGAGGGATGCTCTGCAGGGACACGGCTCACACAGGGACCCCAGGCTGAGATGGATGTGGGCAGTCGCAGCCCAGCCAGGCTGCTGGACCACGAGCAGCCCAGGTCTGAGCTGGGCCGTCCCTAATGTCCCCACCGGATCTGCTGGGGGCTGCCAAATCCCCTTCCTGGCAGAGAAGCAGCTGCTGCAGCTCCAGACCCCCAGGTCCAACATGTGCAGATGCACCATGCATCCCCCCAGTATTGCCCTCGGACACACAGACATGAGTTGTCCCAGCCTGGCCTTTGGATCCTCTCATCTGGAGATGCCTCTTGCATAGACACACATGCACCCCAATGGGTCTCAGCAGACACCAAACCCCATGGTCTCACTGGTGGTTCTTGGATTTCCCACTCCCTCTGGCATCCAACCCTTCCCCTCTCAAACACCCAGGTCTCTGCTGATCCCAGGCCCCATCATGGCCCTGATAGTCTCCTTCTCTGCCCCATGCCACAACTGGGCTGCTGGAGTCTGCATCCTGGTGACAAATCAGGCTGAAAGAGGTGTCAAGGCTCTGCCAACACATCCCCATCCTCCTCTCCCTTTGGTCCCATATCAAGGAGGTCACAAACCACCCCATGTGCTGGCCACACAGCTGTGGACCAGGGTATTTCCCTGTTAGCTGGGAATGCCCTGGACCGTCTCAGTGGTGCTGGTACCACTGGGGAAATCGTGTGTGTCGGGGCAGCCAGGGCCTCAGGGACACCCCAGGAGTGTCGTGGTGACAGCAGTGTCATTATCTGGCCGTTTTAAGACCAAGGTCACCCCAGAGCTGCCCCGAATGCAAGTGGTGTTACCCCTGTGAGGATGCATTGCTGCACATCGTATTTGGATGCCCCATCCCTGGCAGTGTTCAAGGCCAGGTTGGACACAGGGGCTTGGAGCAACCTCTCTAATGGAAGGTGTCCCTGCCTGTGGCAGGGGTTGGAACTGGATGAGCTTTGATGTCCCTTCATCCCATTCCATGATTCTATGATTTGTAATATTCGAGCACCTGCTTTCTATAGTTGCATGTAATGCTCTGAGCTCCCTGGGTATCAGCAAGGACCTTTTGACAGTATGTGAAGTACACTTTGTCTGTATTCGAATGAGACTCCACAGCAAGCAGTAACAATCAAACTAATCAGAGACACCAGCAAAACCCTGGTGCTGTGGGTACACTGTGAGGCCGCCAGCCCTCCCTGGGAATGCTGTTCAGCACGGACAAGGCTTCCCCTCCCATTTCCCACATTCATTTCTCATCTTCCTCCTTGGCTTTTGGCCCTTAGGAGGAAGCTTTAGTACTAAACACCACAGGGTGCTGCCAACCCACAGCAGGACTTGACCTGGGCCTCATCCTGCCTTGGAAATTGTGCTTTTTTGGTTAAAAATGAAATGATTGGTAACGTGGCTGCTTGGCAGGCAGGAGATGAGCTTGGGATGCTGAATCCATGTCCCCAGCTTGCTTCCCTACAGCCATTCCCATAGCCAGATCTTCATGGTGATTGGGTGACCCTATGAGGAGCTACTGAATGCCTGGGTGGGTATGGGGTGGCAAATCACTGATCAATCAGCTGCTCATCCAGGGCAGAGCACATCTGTAATCAGAGTTTGCACTGGGGCTGCTGCTCCACAGCTGTAACAGGCAGTACAGAGCTCACCAAGAGGAATAACCACGATGCCAGCACCCCGCAAAAGCCAATGGACTGGCAGCATTCCCACTGCTGCGTGTTGGTTTGCAAACAGCCATCAAAACGCCCTGAAAACCACAGGCATCCAAACCAAGGGACAAAGGGTTTAGTTCCCCTGGGCTATGCAGGGAGCCCTGCACCACTGCTGACTGCTGTTAGCGCAACGGGGCTCCACAGGCAGTGGGCATGCAGGGAGCTCACTGGGGCATCCTCTGCTCTCCATCATGAGCTGTAATAAAACCCCACCTGGGACACTCTCGATGGAACAGATGTGATGCAGTTCGCCGTCATTTTTGTTCCTCCGAAAGCATTGAAATCGGCTTTATTTCTTTTCCTGGGGGAAACGTCATTCCCTCCCTGCATCATGAGCTTTCCCCGGCCCCAGCTCTCGCTCCTGCCAGAGCAAAGCCTGAGCTCACTGCATGAGACCCCAGGATGAGTGTGCAAAGCCGCGCCGCTGGAAGCTCATCGCTGTATTTATACCAGCACCTTTTCCGCAGCGAGCGGACACAGCCTCATTTCAGCACCTCTGTTGTTCCCTGTTACTCCAGCGGGGCTTGAAGGGCTGTAGGATGGTAAAGCAGAGCTATAAATAGCAGTGCTGACTGATCAGGGTGGCAAACAAGCGCCAGCCTCCCCAAAACAGGGCCATCGGGGGCCGCGCGCCACCAAAGAGCGCAGCAAGTCCTGCATTCAAAGGCTTTGCATAATCTTTGTGACTATGAGGAGGAAATGAGGCCGGTTTCATGCTGCTGCTCGAGAGCAGGGACTTCTCCCAGTGCTGCTTCAGTTGCTGGGTCCAGCCTCCCATCCCGGCAGGAGGAAGGACTGGGGGCTCCATCATGGGTTTGGGATGAGGCACCCAAATCCAGGCAGTGGAGGAGGTGGAGGCAGGCAGGAGTCTGGTTTATGAAATCATCCATCCCTGTTGAAAAACAGCTGATTCAGCTGAAAAGTCTCTCACAATTGGCTGGATTGGGCCCATTTGAGGGTCTGGCTTGCAGAAGTGACCTCTGCCTTCCTGCCTGCAACAGCACCACTGTAACCCTACTTTTACCCCTCCATTAGATACGGATGGAGGGTTGGCTTTTGCAGCACCAGAGAACACACATCCCAGCCTAACCCATGCTGTGGAGATGTGCAAGACCTTGTTGAACCAAAATGAGGTATCTCTGGTGCCTGCAGTCCTCATCCAGCTCTGGGACAACAGCACAAGAGGGACATGGAGCTGCTGGAGCAGGTCCAGAGGAGGCCATGGAGATGCTGCAGGGGCTGGAGCAGCTCTGCTCTGGAGCCAGGCTGAGAGAGCTGGGCTGGGTCAGCCTGGAGAAGAGAAGGCTCCTGAAGGGGAGACCTCAGAGCAGCTCCAGTGCCTAAAGGGGCTGCAGGAAACCTGGAGAGGGGCTTGGGACAAGGGCCTGTAGGGACAGGACAAGGGGAATGGCTTTAACTTGACAGAGGGGAGACTGAGATGAGCTCTTAGGCAGAAGCTCTTCCCTGCCTCCCACTGGAGCCCACACAAGGACAGGACCCCATTGGTGCACACATGGAGACAGGACCCGGATGGCACCAAGCACAGGGAAGGACTCCAATGGCGTATAAGCAGGGGCAATGCCAATCTGTGCCAGAAGGGAAGGAGCAGATCTGCTCACTGCAACTTCTCCCCCATCCCCACCAAGCACTCAAGCCGAACCAGGGGAAGGATTTTTCCTCCTTCCTTCAATGGTCTCATTCCCACCTGAATGATTTAGCTCCGAGCTTTCCCGAGCCAGAGGAACATGTTTTGGAGCACCTTTGCTGGCACACACCATGGCACCATATGTCAGCTCAGCTCTGGCAAGCAGGGCTCCTCGGGCAGGGGGATGTTTCTGAAATAAAGGGCTTTTGCACCATGTTTTCCTCCTTCTCCCAGGCTGTATTTACTGCTCTCAGTGGCCACCTCATCAGCAGTGACTGTGTTTCGCCTACGCCGCCATAGGGAACACTGGGAGCATGTGGGATGCGAGGCAAAATATTAAGGCAAATCATTGTGGTAATTAATAATGGACGGTAACCTGGTTTCCGTGATGTGGTGCAGGGGAGAGGAAGTGGTTTGGAAGGGGCAGAATAAGGAAGATTCTTAAAGAGAATGAATCCAGAGCCTCCCTGCAGCCATGTGCCGGGCAGCCTTCCCTCCCTGCTGGAGTCCCTGCTGCCATCAGCATGAGCTTCCAGCTTGGAGCGAGCTACTCCGGAGGAGCTCAGTTGTTGCACCCACTCTGGGATCACTTGAGCCCCGCAGAGATGCAGCCTGAGGACCAGGAAGGTCCCAGGTCCATGCAGAAAAGCCACTGGAGGTGGTGATGCATCAGCACTGAAGGATGCGCAGCTACCGCACACCATCATTGCTCCATCACGAGCACTTAACCCTGTGCTGGTCCCCCCTCGCTGCCCACCCAGCGGGAGAAGCTCCCCGTGGCAGCACTCAAAGCACCTCCAGCTCCTTCCCCGCTGGGCAGGAAGGATGCTGGGTTCCATAAATCCCGGGGAGCAAACTCTCAGCTTTGAAGTGCAGCAAAGGCAGCTCCGACTCCCCCTCGCCCAGGCACAGCCGGGCCTCCCTATTCATTGCTTTAATTCAGGCTTCTGACATTTAAACAGGATCCTACAAGGATTCACAGTGCCAGGCTCCCCTCTGAGCATCTCCCTGGAATGAGGCTGGGGACCACACTGCCTGGACCCAGAGGCCTGCTCTGAAACAGGGGGGATGCGCTAGGACTCCATCAGGAAGAGGTCACGGCTTGCTGGTAAGTGAAATAATTTGTACAAAGTGAGTAACGGGCTTGGAAACACATCCACTTGAGTCAGGTACAGCCAAGCGCTCCCATGGGATTGTGTGAGCTGCTGCCCCTCCGCCCTGAGGCTGCACCCCAGAGCTGTGCTGTGTGCCCCTCAATCCCTACAGCGATGCTGGAGGTTGCTCGGCTGAGAAACATCATTCCCTTGAGATTCCCACGCTGGATTTATGGAGGAAAAGGACTTGCAGAGAGAGGGAGAAAGTGGGAAACCAGGAGAGGGTAAAGACCCTCCAAATACTTCAAACCTGCCAGGTCCGAAGGGGTTGGGGAGGTCTTGGTGCGAGTTTCTGGGAGCAGAGCAACGGTTTCCCTGGCATGTGCAGAAGAACAAAGCATGGCACGGATGGAAGCGGGTTCAGGGCATGAACAGGAGCACGGTGTGTGGCATGGACAGAAGCAGGGCGATGGCACAGGTCACACCTGCCCACAGGG